CACTGAGCTTCTAAAATACTTTGATGATAATAAACTATGATCACGTGTAGTTTAAGTAAGTTATGTGATATTTTCTTTACCAAGGACTAGTGTTCATCTAAATTCATGCATGCATATTGTTAACATTTATAATACATTTATTTGTGTCATAGTGTTGGACTGTGAAAATTGTGCAAATTATTACTTTTAGGGATGAGGATAAAGAACGACTCAGCCAAGATGGAAGTGAGAAGCGCCATAGTAGCAGTGATTATATATCAGTATTTAATGCAAATACTAAAGCCAATGTTAAGAAAAGGATCCCTGAAGAGAGGACTATTAGTTCTTCATCAGATGCTCTTGTGTTCTCCACAGAGACAAGTCCAACAAAGGCCTCAACCAGCTCGTGGCAGAGTTGTGTGTCAACACAATCTCACAGTGGAATTAGGCAACAGCACAGATTTAGCCCTAGTACATTAACTAGTCATTTGGAACGAAACCAAGTTATGCATTCCAATAGTGTTGATGAAGTCATGGAAGACATACTGGAGGTCAAGGATCTGGCATCATATGATTTAAAAGATGAAAGATCAGACAATGAACTCGCACGAGACTTAGACAAAGCCTTAGCCTCAGTTTTTTCTAACATAGACTCACTAGAGAGAGAAAAAGGTTCTAGGAAAGTTACTCATGAGGATAAAATTCTTTCTTCTTCATGCAAAGATACCCCTGATTTAGTGATGGACCTTCCAGTGAACCAATCAAGTCCCACCGCCACATCCAAGATGAGTAATGAAAGCCTTGTACTTCTGTCTCATTCTAACCCTGAAAGTCCAGATGACCCAGAGATAACCACAGCAGATTGTTTTGCTAAGTCAAACCAGTGTACAATGAAGAAAGGTACAATGTCCAGAAGCATTGATTCAGTTCCACCTCACCCTCCTTCAAATGATGCTCAAACCCAGACCTTTCCAACAGTAGAATGCAGTGCAAGTGCCAACATTGACTTAACACCAACTTCTTCTCCCATGTTTCAAAAGAAATATTTTCACACCAAACCTGGCACATTTCCCATCTCAAGGTCTTTTAACAAATGCCAGACAGCATCTGAAACCGAGATCAGCAAAATTCCACCTGAAGTCCCTCGCAAACCTGTTAAGTCAAAAGTTGACACTATAGTGCCAGCATATCCAAGACACATTCGTGAATCCAAATCAAGTGGTAGTAACAGTGATGAAGAGGTTTCAAAAACTGTAACCAGTGGTGGGATTTCAACATTCAAACCCACCACTAAGAACAAACCGCTCATTATGAAGAAGACTTACAAACCAGCACCATCACCAGAGCCATTTCATCAATTCCAAGAAAGAGAGTATAAGCAGACATCTTGCTAAAAATATAAACTGTGATGCTCCTTTTTTAAAATAATTTGTCAAAAATAAAAATCTCATTTTTTAGAATCTTCTTTGTTAGATGTGTTCTGCGTAAATCAGATACCCTCTAAATCTTTTATTTTTTTCCAAATTTAAGAAGGTGTACATTTATGTTAGGCATTATGTAATATAATTTACATAAAATTGTGTTGGTACTGTGAAGTTTCATTTACAGAGGTAATTTTGATTTCAGTGTTATCCGTAATGTTTTTATTCATTCAATGTTGTTTTTTTATATATATTTTAGATAATTTAATGCTCCTGAAGACATTTTATTTATAACTTGTGACAAGATCAGATACATAGTATTTAGCACAAACAGACTTGTGACAACTTGTCATATTTTGGATATAAAAGCACACAAGAACTAATTACTGGTGACCTAATTTTAAGCAAAGCTCTGAAGTTTGTCTTCACAAAAATACAAATTAAACATTTTTTTCAGAACTACAATTTATATATAACTCAAGAAGTTTTTAAAATGTAAATTTAGGTCATTAATTCTGAATAATAGTTAGAAAGAGATTTGAAGATTTTGTAAAATTTTATTCCACAGTTATATTGTCCTGGATTCCAACTTTATTTGTTTTATGAATATAAAACACTGAAGAAATAGTATTGGGTTACTAAAAAAGATTTTGATGTTTAAGTGATGACTTGATATGAAGTGAACTTGTATTAAAACTGAAGGTTTAGCGGTTGGTTCAGTAGTATAGATATAGAAACCATAAAATCATTAAGAGATAATAAAGATAGTGTTACTTGTAAAGCTGATAAAGGAGGGTAAATTATAGTTCTCAGTAAATATGACTACGTTAAAGATGTGGAAGACCTATTAAATGAGGATACACATGAAACTTAAATATAACCCTACAAATAAGTAATATGAGTTACTAAAGACAAGTGTTAAAAACTGTAACTTTAACAGATGCAGAGATTAGGGATGCATGGGTAGTAAAATTTGGCAAATACCGGGTCCAGGTACTAGGTCACTAAGCTTTGGCCAGGGCTGGGTTATCCCCTCACCTCACCCCCCAAATAAAACATACACAAAAATTAGAAACAAAAACAAAATTGACGTTTATTACATTTAACTGAATAATCACCAACGGAAAATTCAAGTTTTACTTTTGCTTTCAATGCCTAGCCCCAACTTCTCAAACCCTAACCTCTATTGTTCTTAAAACTCCCACCTTCCCTATTGTTCTCTGAATCCCCGACTTTCAGCGGGCGGTCTGTATTTGTGTTTTAACTAAGCCAATTATTGATTGTAACTTTCAGTACAGTGTAAGTTGCCACAAAGATTAATGCTTAGATGCCATTTTCAATTACCCAGATTCGGCTGTTTCTAACTTCGACATTTGGCCAGAGCAGAGATGAATAGATTCATTCCAGAAAGAATGCACATAAACTCAACAACTCACACATCAACATACACACAAACAAATGCAGAAACACACATGCTTAGATAACACTGGTACTCACATAGTATGCCGAGCAGATCATGTTAGCTGTACTTAGTTAAACTACTCTCTTCCTGGCTCTTTTCGTGGCATTATTATCAAGAACCCTAGTTTTTCAAGCACATTGTGTAGGTGCTTCCACAAGCAATTTGAAGCTGAGAAAACAGATAAAGCTTCTGCACAAAGGCAAAGAATAAACAAGCTTCAGTACAGCAGTTCATAGTGCATTGTCCAACCAAACTGAGCGAATGAGCAGAGTAGGTAACATAGTCTGCTCCGAGGTTCTTCTCTTTGATCAAAGCTTGCATGCCAACATATTTGCCATTGTCAAAAGACTGCCCACAGCAATCTTGAATTCTTATATCCTTCTTTACATCGATATACAATGCTCAAACAAAATCTCTTGTTTCATCAGAAACTTGTGTCCATGTCCCAGGGTTGAATGTAAAGGATGGGTTAGTATCATCATTGCCATTGCAATAATTGATTTCTTCCTGTTTATGGGGGCTCAATTCAATTTGATGAGGTTGTTGGTCATCAACATCAAGAGTTGTAGTCTCTACATGATTGTGTTCACAATCTTGGTTGGCAGTTATGTTTTTGGCACTTACTGATTGAGGGTAAGGGCTCAGTTTGGTATGATGAGGTTGACAGTTATCAGCATCCAGAGATTTAGTGTATATATTGTTGTTTCCATTGTTTTGGCTGGTGAGGATTTTGGCACTAAAGAATGAAGGCCCTAAATCAGCTTCCTAGTTTGCTAGTTTCCTAGTTGGCATGATACTTGGAAACATCTCTTTTTCGGAAACCTTTTTCTGTCCTTATTCCACCACACGAGTAATCGTGTAATACTAAAACACAAAAGACGTCTGTATAATCATGTAATACTAAAACACAAAAGATGTCTGTATAATCATGTAATACTAAAACACAAAAGATGTCTGTATAATCATGTAATACTAAAACACAAAAGATGTTTGTATGATCATGTAATACTAAAACACAAAAGATGTCTGTATAATCATGTAATACTAAAACACAAAAGACGTCTGTATAATCATGTAATACTAAAACACAAAAGAATGTCTGTATAATCATGTAATACTAAAAC